TCAGCTGAATCCACTGCAAACGTCACTGCAGGAGAGCTGCGGTGCTGCACAGAGCAAACACAGAGCTCAGGACTCCTCCTCCAGGGCTGCTGGCAGCATTAAACACAACGCCATCTGTTGATCTGCATCCATCTGAACCCACTGGGTGGCAGAAAGTCCAGAATCCTACTGCAGAGACACTGAACAACACTTTTCAATTAATAAAACACAATTGTTTATGTTAAAACTGTCATAAAACGGGACAGATGGACCCAGGATTCAAGGTGAGAGTCAGTAGGAACGTTTATTAAAACAAAACCATAAACAGACAGAACAGAAGCGTGAAGCTGCTGTGGATCTGCAGCGACTGCTGGACGGGGGGCGGGGCATCGACCAATCACTGACACTCTGGAGGGAGAAACACAGGTAAGTGACCACGATCATCTGATAGCAGATGATTATCAGAGTGAGTCACTTAGCTGGTTTAACAGGTCAGAGAAACAGTTCAGAACCGGACAGTTCCGAGCTGGACAGGCAGGACTCCGATCCAGGACAGGGAATCAGATCAGACTGGAGTAGTTCTGGAATCCAGGAGTCTGCAGTACAGTCAGGGGTTCCGATCCACTCAGGAACGGACAGATCCAGGTTCCAGGAATCCACAGAGCATGAAGGCAGGTTCAGAGTCAGACGGGTCCAGAAGCGTGCCCAGATGGACATGCACAGATGCAGACAGGCGGAAATCAGTAAGAGTCCAAGGATGATTCAGGCAAACAGATCAGACGGGGACGGACAGGACCAGTGGGTGAGAGGGAACTGAATCAGGAAATCAGAATCACTAGGAAACACTAAAACGCTCTCACCACTGGTTAAGGAAACCAGCCTGAGGACACCGGCTTGAGAATAATCCCCTCACTGGAACGGAGACAAGAACCTTGGACTGACTAAAACTAACGAAAGCAGCACCTAAAGACATCAAACAGAAAGCAAACAAAGATCTGGCCCAGATAGCTGCTGAGCCCAATATAGAGGAACAGACACAGTGGGTGAGATGAGTGATAATTGGAGAGCAGGCAGAGGTAGGCAGGAGAAAGGCATTAACAATTAGAATAGAATAGAATAGAATTCAACTTTATTGTCATTGCACTGTCACAAGTACAAGCAACGAAATGCAGTTAGCATCTATCCAGAAGTGCTATACTGGATATAAATATGCATTACAAGTGTACAGAGGGTATGTATAAATAGACTATAAAATGTATGTATAAACAGTATANAAATCAGAATCACTAGGAAACACTAAAACGCTCTCACCACTGGTTAAGGAAACCAGCCTGAGGACACCGGCTTGAGAATAATCCCCTCACTGGAACGGAGACAAGAACCTTGGACTGACTAAAACTAACGAAAGCAGCACCTAAAGACATCAAACAGAAAGCAAACAAAGATCTGGCCCAGATAGCTGCTGAGCCCAATATAGAGGAACAGACACAGTGGGTGAGATGAGTGATAATTGGAGAGCAGGCAGAGGTAGGCAGGAGAAAGGCATTAACAATTAGAATAGAATAGAATAGAATTCAACTTTATTGTCATTGCACTGTCACAAGTACAAGCAACGAAATGCAGTTAGCATCTATCCAGAAGTGCTATACAGGATATAAATATGCATTACAAGTGTACAGAGGGTATGTATAAATAGACTATAAAATGTATGTATAAACAGTATAACAGCATTAACAGTTATTGAGGCTGTAAATGAATATAGACACTATATACATGTATACAACTATACAGAGATGTATAGAATTAAGGCTAGCTATCAGGGCAGATCATGACAAGAACATTTTCAGGAGTCTCTGGTGGCATTTTTTGCCTTTAATAGAGAGGGGAAAAGTTATTTCTAAAACACCATACGATTCACACTTTCACATATTAAATCTTTTGAGATGAATCTTGGTAACATCTTCTTTTATGGTGGTTTGTTAAAGCAGAAGCTCATCTAAAAGCCCAGTGTCTCAAACTAAAGAACCAGAGAGCTCCTCCAGTGACGCCTTAAATCAGGGGTGTCAAACTGGTTCCAGAAAGGGCCGTGTGGATGCAGGTTTTCTTTCCAACCAAGCAATAGCACACCAGACTTCATTCATCTCAAGGGAGTCCAATCTGAACATGATGACTTGATGAGATGAATGGAGTCTGGTGTGCTATTGCTTGGTTGGAAAGAAAACCTGCAGCCACACGGCTATTTCTGGAACCAGTTTGACACCTGTGCCTTAAATGCACAAAGGAGCACGTCCACAGATCCTTCCTCACAGAAGCTGTTAGACTTTATAACCATCACTGTCAGTACATGTTTATCTCTACTGCTTGTGCACAGTCTGGTTTGAATGAATGGTGTGTTTTTAATGCATAGATGTTTTGTATATTTATTAAGAACACCTTCACTTTTACATGAGTGGAAACATTTTAATTAGTTAATAACTAAAGTATTTTCCTTAACTTGTAAATTTCTTAGGCCTTTTCCCCTTCCATTTACCTGAAATGAAAAATTTTATATTTCTATTCTATTCTATTCTATTCTATTCTATTCTATTCTATTCTATTCTATTCTATTCTATCAACCTGTTGCTGGAAGTTTTATGACAGAAATCCAGAAGTTTGCCCTTGTTGCTAGGAGCTGCAGCCTCCCCCAGAGCTCCCTCTGATTGGTCCGCAGCCTGACAGCTCGGACCAAT